TGCCCATCTGCAAAAGGGAGTTGATCACCCCAGTCCCAAGCCTGTCCAAAGCGGTATGACAGACAAAGACGATCAGCTGCCTGAATGATTTTGTGCTCCTGGCTCTGAAGCCTGGCCCAAGGACTGGAAGCACCCAGAGAAGAGGCAGCCCCTCCCCAGGAAGCTTCAGAGCTCAGGCCCCTGCACAAGCCCATTTCCCTCGGTCTTCACCATCACTATTGCTAATAATGACATCAATCAGGTTGACCACGTTTCACACCATTACTCGCAGCTCAGCAGGAAGCTACACATTTTCCCCCTCACCCACCACCTTCCAGAAAGCCAAGAGATTTCCAGAAGGGAAGAGAATGAAACTGATGATTTTTCTGAGTACCTACTGTGGGCGTGGCACCCGGCGAAGCCCTTCGTACGACTCTGCGAAGTAGGGATGATTCTTCTCTTTTCCAGAGAAAGAAACTGGGGCCCCGGGGAGCGAATGCATGTGTCCAAGGTCACACAGAGCTGGGACAAGAACAAGCATGGCAGTGATGTATTACTGACCACTCACAGGCTCACAGTGGTGGGATCCTACTGAAATATTATCATTCTCATTTTCAGATGAGGAGACTGAAGTTTGATGCAGTGAAGAGACCTGTCTGAGGTCACATGCTGCTTCAGCGTGAGCAGCAGAGTGGCACAGGGTGGGGAGGGTGGCTCTCTGCTCCGGGAAAAGAGTGCCTGAATCTTGGTTCTGTCACTGACTAGCTTAGAGACCTCTCTGAGCCTCAATTTCCTCATCAAAAAAAGGGGATAATAAAAGCATCTATCTCATTTTGTGGGAAAACAATAAGAAGGAAAAAACAGTAAAACAGTTAATGTTTATCGATTGTTTAACATGCACCAGGCACTTTGCTAAGCACTTGACATGTGTAAGCTCACTGGGTTAAATGAGGTATTGCATATAAAGTGCTTAGCACAGGACTCCAGAAATGGGAGTGATGATGATGATGATGATGATGAAGGCACTGATGATGATTCCCTTGGGCAAGCCTCAGTTCATCCTCTTTCTGGAAGAACAGAGTGGCCTATAAGGTTTCAGAAAGGAGGGGGACCAGGAAAGAAGGGGAGGGCTTGGACAGGGGAGGGAAAAAGAAACACATAAAAATTAGGGAGTGAATAGCATTGATAAGGTCAAGATGATATGCCAAGTAGGGAGAAAGCAAGGGATCCAAGATGCTCTACAGAGTGAAACCAGACTGAGACCCACAGAACCTCCAGGCCAGTCCAGACATCATCCCAGAGTCCTAGATGGGCAGAACTGGCAAGACCCTAGAGACACAGACCAATGTTTCTTTCTTTTTATTTATTTATTTGTTTGTTTGTTTATTTTTAGGGGGGATGTTAGGTTTGTTTGTTTGTTTAAACAAAGGTACTGGAGATTGAATCCAGGACATTGTGCATGCTAAGCACAAACTCCATCACTAAGCTCTACCCTCCCCTCAAAAGACTAGTGTTTCTTCCCATTTTACAGATGGGGAAAACCCTTGCCCAAGTTCATAGGATATAGTGGTAGAGGTGAGCTTGAATCCAGGCCTCCTGACTCGCAGCTCAGGGCCCAAATACCTGCCGTTTCCCACAAAGGAAGAGTGCAGGGGGCACCTGAACATGTCTGGGTCACAATTCCAGGGACACATCTCAGGGTATATATCATTAAGATGACAACAATAAAAAGCTAGTTTATTTAAAAATCTTTTTCAGATTCTTTTCCCTTTTAGTTTACTACAGATATTGAATATAGTTCCCTGTGCTATATAGTAGGACTTTGTTGTTTATTCTATATATAGTAGTTTGTATAATCCCAAACTCCTAATTTCTCCCTCCCCCTCCTCTTCCCCTTTAAGAACTGTAAGTTTGTTTTCTATGACTGTGAGTCTGTTTCTGTTTGGTAAATAAGTTCATCTGCATAATTTTCTAGATTCCACGTATAAGTGATATCATATATTTGTCTTTCTCTGTCTGACTTACTCCACTTAGTATGATAATCTCTAGTCCATCCGTGTTGCTGAAAACAGCATTATTTCATTCTTTAAAAGCTATAGTTTATTGAATGCTCACTCTGTGCCTGGCACAGTGTTAACTAAGCTCATTATATGCATTTAATCCTCACAACAACTCTAAGCATTGGGAAATATGTCTTATCTTTTTTTACCCTCGGAGAGGGTAAGCAACTTGCCTAAGGTCCCACAGCTAGGAAGTGAGAGCCAGGACTCAAACGCATGTCTGTCCTTTCAAACTCCAGAGCCTTGTCTACCTGAATGGTACAGCTCCCATCTGCTTCTCCCACCCTCCAGTGCACCCTCACACCCTACTCCCTCACCCAAAGCAAGTCTATCCCAATCACAGAAGAGTGTTTAGAACTGGCCTGCTTTATTATAAGTCAGACCCACTGGAAAAAGAAAAATGACACAGTTCCTTTGTAAAGTTTTCAGCTTAGAAACATTTAACAGCATCTTCCTTCTCTGCCCCTTGGATGAGAGGAAACAGGCTCCCTTCAGCAAACTGGTGAATTCCAGCATTTGGAAGCACATTATGGAAGCTGCCAGGGAGCAGAGGCTCCTGGCAGTTAGCGACAGCTGAAAGGCCCACTCTGCAATCGGCCCAGACAGAGCAACAGACCTAAGAGACCAATGTTCAAGTCCCTCTTTGAAACATCCCCAGATTATCTCAGGTAATCCTCTCAAGCTGCCCAAAGGCACCCAGTCAGGACGTAGAAGGATCAGAATCCCACCCAGCCCTTGTCTAATTCCAGAAACCCTTGCACTGGTGAGCCCTCTAAATGGAAGGATGGGTTTAGCTTAGCTGCGCAGAGCTATGGAGGCAGGTGAGGGCGGGACAGGAAGACTGCCTCCACCACCTTCACTTCTTTAGAGTAGTAAGCATCTCCCAAGGGACCCCCGACTTACCAGGGCCAGAACTACTTACTTTATAATTAAGAAGGCAACAGAGGATGCTGGTCAGCTGCCTGGCTTCATAGCCTGGCCCCTGACTGCACAACTTTGGGCAAGTTACTTCATAGGGTTGTTATGAGGATTAAATGAGTTAATACACAGAAAAGTGCTTACAAGGGTAACCTAGTAAGTGCTCCCCAAAGCTCATCAACAGAGAATGACTATGAGACAAATTGTTAATAGTGGTTACCTCTGGGGTATGGGACTGGGCATAGAAGGAAACTTCTTTATCTTCTGGTCTGTTTGGTTATTTACTGATTTAATCATTTTATAATATCTGTATATTACTTTTCTAACAAAAATGTCCTAGTTTAAAATTTAAAAATTAACACAGAAAAAAATCCTCTGAAAAGTTTCAGCACTTCTTGGCATTTTATGTTCCTCAAAGGAGATAAAGAAGCGTGTTTCTACTGGGAGCCAGGAGTTGTCAAATAACTGATTCAGTCATTTATTTTACAAATATTAATGGAGTGTCAGGCACTGTTCCAGCTGCTGGGGATTTAGTGGGAACAAAACAGATAATCTCTGCCCTTCTGGAGTTTCCATTCTACCTGATCTTAATTAATCCCCTCTGCAACCCTCACGGAGGAGGAATTACAGAGGGGCCGACCAAGATGGCACCGTGAGGGGAAGTCACTTGCCCTGCATCCAGGGCTACAATCTTCAGGGCTGGTTGTTTTGACCACTGCTCAAGGGGACAGGTCTGTGGATGGCAAATCTGGGGCTGGGGTCCCCAAGAGAAGAGAAAAAAGACAAATGAGGAGGTCTGTATATCCACATGCAAATCTTCCGTCTGCATTACTGTACTGTGGTAGAGGAAGGGCAATGGATGCAGGCAAAAGCGGAGACTCCGATCATAGAGTCCGCATCAGTGAGGCCCCAGCTCCCCAAATTCAAGCTCATACCTGAGTTCTGCCCATGGAGGTCCCCATGCACCTCTGTCTAGTTGTTGTGCCTCAGCTCTAGGGTAGACAGGAGATCCTGGCCTCTCCTTAACCACTTTCCCAAATTCACCTTCCAGAGCCTGAGCTAAAGGGTAGCGCTGGTCCCCTTCAGCCCCTAAATTCACTCCACTGGCCCCCCTGAGACAAGAACCCGAGTTCCCTGAGCTGGAATGAGGTATAGTGTCCCCAGATGCTCGCATCCTCCCCGTGGCACCAAAGTATCCCAACCTTCACCTGTGCCAGCTCAGGCAGAGGAGCTGGTCTGCCTGTCCCGCGCTCCACCCCCTACCCCCATCACCACCCTTGCTCTGGTGGAACTGATGACTGACGAATGCCTGTGGCCACAGCCAAAGCAGGGAGGGCCCGCACCTGGTTGGTCAGACTGGCCCAGGACTTGGTAGCTCCTTGTGACCCTCTCCAGGGAGGCGGCTCTCCATTCCCAGGCCTGCCCCATCAGGAGGGTGGAGGGAGGCAGGAACAGCACAAAGAAGCGAACGGTTCTTGGAGTCTAAGATCCCAACACACACAGATGAACATGGGCCAGAAATGGTCAGAGATCTAGAGACATAGCAAGGAGAAACCCGGAGAGAGACACACACAGGAGCAGAGACTTTTGTGAGAAACATTCACAGGGGCGGAGACCAGAGGCAGAGACCCAAGCAAACGAGTGATCTAGAGGAAAACACAGGGCAGGGACCTCATCAGATCAACACACCAGCATCGGACACACCCCCAAGCCCCAGCGAGCCACAGTCCCACGGCGTATCCCCCTAGGAGGAGGCCACTCTTACAGCGCGGGCCAGACGCTTCCAGCCCCAAGCGCGGGGCGGCCGGGGACTTGCGCACAGGACACACTCGGGGACCGAGGAGCGCCGGGAGAGAAGCGCACACAAAGAGACAGCCTGGCCAGCAGAAGCAGGCTCCGCCCGTCCGCTCCGTGACTCCAGACCACCCCCCCATCCGGGCGCTCGCTCCCAACACACACAGAGACACAACCCCACCCGCACGCCCCAGGACCCCGCCCCGCCGCACCCCACCCGGCCTGGCCGCCCGGGCGCGCGGCGCTCACCAGCTGCAGGCAGCAGAAGGCAACCAGCGTGCAGCGCCCGCTGCACTTGCCCATGGTTCCGGGGGCCGCGCGCGCCGTCCGCCGCGGCGCCCCTCTAGCTCGGCGGCCGCCGCCTCCTCTGCGCCGCGCGGGCTCTGCGTCCTCCCCGCTGTGCGCCCCAGGCGGCGGGTCCGGGCGCCTAGGGCCGGGCCCGGGAGCGCCGGCTTCTCAGGGCTGGGGCCGGCCGCTCGCGCTCTGAGTCCATGGTCTGTCCGCCCGCGCTCTGGCTCTGCCGCGCCGCGCCTCCTTTGTCTGGCCGGCCGGCCGCCAGGCGCGCCTCCTGCCCCCGGGCGGCTGGCGGGGAGCAGGGAGCGGGGAGCGCAGGCACCCAGCGCGGCGCAGCGCAGAGCAGCACTGCCCAGCTGGGGCAGCCGCCCGGGAGCTCGGCGGCCGCGGCTCCCCGGCCCCACCACGTGGCTCCGCCGCCGCGGCGGTGAGGGAGGGAGGGAAAGAGGGAGGAGAGGGGAGGAGAGGGGTGGGGCGGGGCGGCCGAGGGAGCAGAAGGGAGGGGAGAAGGGGTAGAGAAGCGGAGAGCAGGGGCGAGAGTCAGGGAGTGAAGTGAGAAGAGTGAAGGCTTGGGGACTGATAGCTCTGGGTCAAATCCAGACTTCACAGCTCACTCGCTGTGTGACCTTGGGCAAATCACATCACCTCTCCGGGCCTCAGTTTTCTTAACAAACAGGAATAATAATGACCTCTTCAGTGCTGCCGCAAAGATGAAATGCAGTTCCGTGAATAAAACACTTAGCTCTGTGCCTGGCCTCTTGAGGGTGCTGGCACATTCCTCTGTCCACCTTGTCTCTAGGGCCATGCGGTTCCAACTTTGACCCCCTATTTCCACTCCAGTTCCCAGGTCTACTCCCCATCCCAGCCTCCCTCCTAAGTGCCTGGCCACCTTGTCTTCCTTCCCTCTTTCCTTCTGCTGGCCTTTACTGAGCCTCCACTGTCACAACCCTGGGGGCCTTATGATCCAGAACAGCAGTGCTGTTCCAGAACCCACTGAGCTTCCCAGTCCAGGGAACAGACAGGCTCTCGGGGCAGGAGCATGAGCTGCCTGATGGCAAAGTTCTACCCAGGGGGCTGTGGCCAGCCCCTAACCCAGGTTGCAGTGGGGAAGGAGTTAGGAAGGGCTGGCCAGTAGAAGACTGCCTTCTCCAAAACGCCCCCCCCCAAACCCCCAAACTCCCAAACACATCTCAAATCCATTTAATCATCTCAACCCGACTCCTAACTTCTTATAGTCATCTTGATGATTAGCATCACTCAGCTGGGAATCCTTGCGTCATCCTCCGGGCTTTCCTATCCCATCTGACTCATCATGACATTCTATGAACTTATCTTCCAGCTAATATCTATGAAATACCTACTATGTACCAGGCTCTCCACTGGGGATAAGGGGATGAACCAGTTGCTGCACTCACTGAGAGAACAGTCTAGTGAGGGATTGTCCAGAAAATATGCAAATACATGACGACAAATTCTGATGTGTGCCTTAAAGGATAACAAAGAGTAAAAGACTAAGGGGGCCATAATTCAGATTTAGAGACCAGGAAGGCCTCCTTGTGGATATGGCATTGATACTGAGAAGGCGGGAAGGAGTGGCAGAGGAGTGGAGAACAGTGATATGGTAGAAGAAACAACATTTCTTATTCTTTCCCTTCCTCCTCACTCTCTCTAGCCCTCTGGACTCAGCAGGCAGTATGGTATTACAACCCAAGGTTCTGGACCCAAGCAGCCTGGGTTGTAGTTCCAGCACTGCCACTTGTATGCTGCTTACATAGCGAGCACTCAGATGCATGATTTTTTCTCCTTGGAGTGGCTACATAATTTGTGAGGTTCAATGCAAAATGAAAATGCATGGCTCCTTAAGGCTCATTAGGAATGAAGACACAGCGGAGCATTAAACCAAGCACAGGGAGGGCCCTGTGGGCCTGCAGAGGACACCCACTCCTGAAGGCAGCCGTTGTCTTCTCCATGGACCAGCAGAACGGTCTCTTCACTGGTCTGCCTCCTCCACCCACTTGCCAGCATGCCACTTGGAATTTTAAAACACACAGAATATTGGTAGAGTTGGAATTACGTGAGCTGGTTTTCACTTGGAATAAGCTGAGTTAACAGTGGGAACTTTTCTCAGCCATGCTTGGCGAGTGACAGCTGTGTCTAACCAGGTTCCATGACTAGACCGGCCTCCAGGAGTCTGTGAAGTCCCTGAAATAATATGCAAAGCTTCATCTGAGCAGATGTGTCTTTTTCTGGGGAGAGGGTCCACAGGTTTCATCAGATTCCCCAAAGAGTCCGTTTCCCACTAAAGAGTAAGAAGAACCAGTCCCACAAGGACTCAGCCCAGATGTAAGTTTTCTAGCAGATCCTCTTTGGGGCCTCTTCCAGATAGACAGTCTGCCAGTTCCCTCTGTGACGCTAACAATGCAATTCAGTAATAATAACATTAATAGCTCCCATTTGTTGAGTGCTTACTCTGAGCCAGGCACTTAACATATACTATCTCATTTAATCTTAATAAGAGTGGATTCCACTGGGGCTGTTACCATCCCTTGCCAGGCACCTGGCTGTATCACATCATGCCTGTGACACCCTGTTCCAAGGCCAGGCTAACTCACTCTTGTCTGGCCTATGGGACCAGGGATGATGGCTTGTCTGACCTCAGCAGAACTAGCCTCTGCCCCGGGTCATTCCATTTAGTCGAAGTCCTGCCCACACCACATATGCACCATGCCATCTCTCACTTTCATGCTTTGCACATGTTGTTCTGTCTAGAAGGTATCTCCCATCCAAATTCTTAGCCTGGAGATCTCCCATTCACATTTCAAATCTCAGCTCTCCTGTTACTTCCCCACACGCCAGGTTTTCCTTAACACTCTGTGACTTCAAGGAGGAGCCCCTCCTTTGGGATCACATGTGGTCTGTGCTACGTCCAGGAGAACTTTCACTAGGATTTATTTTACTTGTCTGATTTTGTTTCTGCCAGTTGACTGTGAGCTCTATGAGGACAGCAACTGTGTCATAAATCATCTCTGTATCCCACAAGGCTTGGATCATGTCAGGAGTTAGCAAATGCGTGATGAAAGAATGATCTTACTGTCCTGGGTCCTAGCATACCTCGTGCTCTCTTTACCACCCGGAAGTCCAGGATTCTAAGGGGGAAGGCAATCTAATTGTAGGAAAAGATAGAAGCATCTTTGGCAAGACGTTGTGGGTGTTAGGAGCTAAGGATAATGTCAGGAGGGCTCAAAGGAGTCAACAAAAAAGATGACTAAGCCTTGGACTAGGGAAAGAACGTGGGGGAAATGAAGCAGGATTTAGAAATAAAGGACAGATGATTCAGAACATACCCACACTTCCTGAGTGAGAAGGCAGGAGCATGGTTGGCCCTAGAGAGAGGCACATTAGGAGCTGCTGAAGTGAAGAGGAATTTATGAGGTGTTAAGTTATTCCCTTGCCTTAAACCAAGCCCAGTCAGTGTCTGAACCTTCTACCACTAGTCCCTCTGTGGGTTAAAACACTGAAGGCTTCTGCGAAAGTTCACTCATAAGATAGCAGAAATGTTAAACCTATTAATTTCTCCTTCCAAGTTTGAGGGCTGAGCATACTAATAATAGTTCCTGGGGTGTTTTCCAACCAATTCTTCAACACCAGTTGGTTGTTCAACATTTTAATTCAATTCTGACACTAACTACGCACAGTTGGCATAGACCCAAAGCTTAAAGATTCAGTACCCTCAAAACTGCCTCCCCTTCAGATGCTAGCTGCAGATCTCCAGCCACCCCTATGTCTGACCAACCAGCTATAAATTGGGGGTTCCCATGACCTCCTTTTCAGGTTGGATAATTTGCTTGTGAACAGCTCACAGAACTCAGGAAGGTAATTTACTCACCTTTACTGGTTTATTAGAAAGGACACAAATCAACAGCCAGATGAAGAGGTACATACGGTGAGGCCTGGAAAGGGCCCGGGCACTCCTGACTCTGTGGAGTTGGGGTGCACAACCCTCCCAGCCAGTTCATCAGCCAGGAAGGTGCTCTGGATCTCAGTGTTCCAGAGCTGTTACAGAGCTCGGTCTCCAGATGGAGCTCAGTAAGAGCGGCTACAAGTTTCCATTCTTCCACTCACTTGGTCTTTCTGGTGACCAGTCGCATCTTGAGTCTGTCTAGGGGTCCCATCCTAAGTCACCTCAGGTATGATCAAAGGGACTCATAAATAAGACGCACTCCTATCACTGGGGACTTCCAGTGCCAGGGAGAGGGACAAAGACCTCATTCTATCACGGTAGCTAACATCTCTTAAGCATCCTGTGCCAGACACTATTCTGAGCAACTTCTGTGCATTAACTCATTCAGCCTCACAAAAGCCTTTTGAAGTGGGGACTGTTATCACTACCCAGTATTTAGGTGAAGGAACTGAGGCTCTGAGAGGTTAGATCACTTGCCCAGGGTCATACAACAAGGAAGTGGCAGAATCAGGATTTGAATCGAGGCAGAACTACTTTACCTATACCATTCCTACTGCATTCCTTACAATTTTCAAACTTCTTTTTTAGCAGCAGACACTTCTCTTCAAAAGAAATCACACATCTGTAGAACTGAAAAACAGTGGGACTGCTCTGGTTGTGTGGAGAAAGAGGACTGGCAAGCTGCTGTCTCAGTCTGCCCTCCCATCCTGTGACAGCCTCCAGATAGCACCTCAATCCCAGGTCCCTCAGGAACAGTGCAAAAACCACTGGCCTAGATGATCTGCAAGGTGCCTTTTTTGAAGAGGGGAGACATAAAGGGAGAATCTGAAGAGCAGAGAGGTTGAGTGGGTTCTGTAATGTCACACAGCATAGTAAGGGCAGAGCTGGATCTCAAGATCTCTGGGTCAGTTCCATTACTGTGTCAGGCACTGAGCTAGGAGCTTTGGAACCAAAGATGAAGAGGGTAGGTGCCTCTGAGAATCCCTGGGCTAAAAGCCTGGGGGCTAGCACACTGGCCAACAATGTGACATCGTCCACTGCTTACTTCTCTAAACCCAGCAGCTTCACCCCTTTGCCTTTCCTCTCTGGGCCCTGATGCCATCTGAGTTTGTGACTCTTG